TTTTTTTTGTGGTACCGAGGACCAAATTCAGGACCTTGTGCTTGTGAGGCAGGCACAGTGCCACTGAGCTAAATCCCCCGCCCAGCAGTCTACTTTCTTTATATATTGAGCCCAGAAAGCATCTAAAAGTACACACACAAGGCCTAGCTCAAGCCATTCATCTCCAAAAAGCTTTCCCTCCACTTACTGAATGACTACAAAACGTATTTTTGTTCCCCTTATCCTACATGTCACATATAATGGCATTAACAGATTCTTAATAAGTGGTTTCAGGGCTCATCATACTCACTCAATTTATAAACTTTTTGACAGCTGGGACTATGTGTCTTTTATCTTGCACTTCTTTTGATCTGCTTAACAGCTACTTATTGAGTACCAACTCTGTGCCCAAGTGTCAACTTATTAACAGCTACTCAATTTTATAAAAACACAATGGTCCTGGAAAATGTGATGACCAATAGATGCCCCCTTGGGATTCTATTTGACAGCCTATGAGTAAGGAGATCAGAATAGATACATGAAAGGCATTTACTGGTTTCTGCACTCCAGCTGGGGATTGAGAGTCAGTTCTCCTTCCAGACACTTATTTTATTTATTTATTTATTTATTGGTACCGGAGATCGAACTCGGGTCCTTGCACTTGCAAGGCAGGCAACGGAACCACTGGGCTAAATCCCCGGCCTCAGACACTTATTTTAAAGTCTTCCATTCAAGTAAAATAGTTTTGCTAGAGTGGGAATGCAGCCCAGAAGTGGAGTGCTTGCCTAGCATGCACAAAGCCCTGGGTTGGTTCAATCCTAGGCACTGAAAAAGAAAAAGGTTTAAAAAGTAGTATAACCTAGAGATACAGGACTTGCCTTGTGCACACAATGGCTTGGGTTCAGTCCCACACCAAAACATATATATATACAACGGTACCTCAGTTCACAATCGTGGAACAAATTCTGCGACCAGAATCATGGAATTAATTTAAGTTCATAAACTGAGGCACCCCTGCATATGTGTGCACATGCAAACACACACACACATATACACATATACATGCATATACACACACATATATACATGTACACATACGTATGTAATGAGTGCTACAGCACTTGTCTAGCATGTGTGAGGGCCTAGATTCACTCCCCAGCATGGAAAAAAAAACAAAAACATAACGTGACATGAAGGAGCAAACACTGCGTTCAGAATTCTACTAACAATTTACAACTTTTAACTTTAGATATTTACTAAGGTGTTTCTCGGTATTTAATATTTAAGACAAACTGGCTATTTGCTTTATAGTTACATTTAAAATACAAATGCACAACAAAAAAAAGGTTGCATCATGTGGGATGAGGAGTTTGATATGAGACTGTATTTAAGAAAATATAAGAGAAAATGTCTAACAAGCAGTTAAGAGATAGGACTACAGCTTAGAAGAGAGAAAAGGGCTTGCAACAGACTTAAAGCCACTTGTAACATAAGTATTATCACAGTATTAAGGGTGCCATGCCAAGAGATTTACAAATTTTCACTGATTTAATACTCATTACTTTATAAGGTTGGAACATTATTGTTTTCATACAAATGGGAATTTAAGGTGTCAAAGTAGCTTCCTCAAGGTCACAATAGCTGGTGAAACTAGGAACATAGCTTTAAACACTCTACTAGCAAAAACTAATGACAGTGAAATAAAATCCATTACTTCCTTCAAAATACATACAGAAAGAGAACAGAAGACCAACATATTAACAACAGACTAAAAGGTAAAAATAACAGAGGAAAAAGTGATTAGAATAAAGCATGGAGAGCCAGGATTCTAAGAATCTCAAGCCATACAAATTTTAATTAAAAGGGATCTAAAAGATAATTTAGTATAAAAGAAATATAAATCTTTTAATAATAAAAATCCAAACCAATAGGCAATAGTTTGAGCAATATCCAATTTGAGGAAATTGTACGGTAAAGAAATAATTTTGGGCCAAGGATTTAGCTCAGTGGTGCCATGCCTACCTCACAAGCGCAAGGTCCTGAGTTTGATCCCCGGTACCAAAAATAATAATAATAATTTTAACATAATCCTTAAATTTTTATTTATTTTAGAAAATCTGATAAATATCATTTGCTGTGCTTTCCAAAATATTAACTAACTAGCATGAGCCAGGTACTCATATACATAATCTAATTTAATCATCAATACAACTGAAAAAGGCAGACATTATTTTTCATGTTTTGTAGATGAAGAAGTGTAGATTAATCTGCTTGACATATCACAGCTAAGTTTGATTCCACAGTCTTCCCACAGTCTTCCTGTCACAGAAAGGATTAACGGTAGTTTTTATTGCCAATGAGATGAATGCTTTTTTCCAAAATTTTAACTCAAAACTCTACGCTTTCAAAATATGCACTCAATTTAAATTTTTCCTCTCTAAAACTAATTTTTATTCAAATCTTTTAATTTTTTAATGTAAATCTCAATAGTTTTCTAATTAGTTTTACTGTAGTGTGGTCTTTAAGAATAACATTTGAAGCCAGGTGTGGTGGCACATGTTTGTAATCTCAGCACTCAGGAGACTGAGGCAGGAGGATCGCTGTGAGTTCGAGCCCAACCTGGGCTACATAGTGAGTTCAAGGCCAGCCTGGACTATGTGAAACCTTGTCTCAAAAAAGTGGTAGGATTCCAAGCTTAAGGCCAGCCTAGGCCACTTAGTAAGACCTTCTCTCAGAAACTGATGGGGATGTAGCTCAGTGGTAGAGTACTTGCCTAGCATGCACAAGGCCGTATGCTCAACCCTTAGCACCACAAAAATTAAATAACATTTAAATTTTACTTTATTTGGCTTGTTGCTTTTACCAGAGCTGTGCTAAAGATTTTTGCAATTTGGAAGCTTCAGGCTTCCCTTCATGGTCCTTAATAAATATGCAAATAAAATCTCTTCTTAGCAATAGCTGGGGGGCGGGGTTGGGCCTCACACACTAGCCATGCATTCTAGCACTTAGCTACACCCCCAGGCTTTTTGGATTTTTTTTTTGTTTTGGGGGGGTTTTTTTGGTACCGGGGATCGAACTCGGGTCCTTGGGTCCTTAGCTTGCAAGGCAGGCGGTGGAACCACTGAGTTACATCCCCAGCCCAACCCCAGGCTTTCAAAGAAAAATTCTCACTAAGTTGCCAAGTTGCCCTCAAACATGTGATCTTCTGCCTCAGCCTCTCCAGTGGCTGGGATTACAGGCATAGGCAACCACAATGAGCAATAGCATTCTTCTATAGCTACCTCTTGTACTAGACTACATTCCTAGATAGTTTCACTTTCTGACCCCAAACTGTATAAACTGGTCTGTCTGCCCAACTTATCATGGTCATTTTGACTTTTCTTATTATCACAGTACAGATAACCCAGTAAAAATATTTAAAATTCTGAGGCAAGAGGATCACAAGTCCAAGCCCATCCTCAGCAACTTAGTGACCTGGGGAGATCCTGCCTCAAAATAATAAACGGCTGGGGATGTAAGTCAGTGCAAAGACCCCTGGTTCAATCCCCAGCACTAAAAAAAATTTATATGCTATATATGGCTGCACTTATTATCCTAAAAGCACAAAAGAGTAGAAAAAAGTACATCCTTCAGAGACAGATCTGGATCCTAAGCCCATTAACTTCTCTGAGCCTCAATTTCCTTAGACACAAAGTAAGAATAACGTCTTCTGTTCACAGTTATCATAAGGATTAAGTGATATAAATACATACTACCTGGTACCACATTGCTCAGCAAATAGTAAATAGTAGAAAACATTCTGTGGAAAATCACGGTTGCATCCCATGACATCAACTTCAAAAAGCCATTGGTATGTATAAAACATTCCTGATTTACTGATTCATTTATCACCAACTAGAATTTTGATAAGCTTGTTTCTAATGCCATCAACTATGATACAACACCTGGCACAATGACCCACCCCTCCTTCTGGATCTGAAATCTTTGGCACTCACAAGCAATTTCCTTTTGGGTGCAAAAGCCAGGTGTGGTGGCACACACCTGTAATCCCAGCACTCAGGAGGCTGAGGCAGAAGGACCACTGCAAGTTTGAGGCCAGCCTGGGCTACATAGTGAGTTCAAGGCCAGCCTGGACCACATAGTAAGACCTGATCCCAAAAAAACCAAAAAGAAAAGCCAGTTATTTGTTCATTGTCAACAACCAAAATATGCTTCTTTTAAAATTTAATAGTGAAAATTATTTATTATACACTTTTCACTTAGTTATTCCTATTCTGCATATTCTGCATATCTTCTATTCTCCACTGTCTACTGGAAGCACTTAACTGACGTTTTGCTGTGATTGTTTTGTTGTTGTTTTGGTTTTTTGAGACAGGGTCTTGCTTTGTAGTTCAGGCTGGCCTTGAACTACGTAGCCCAGGCTGACCCTGAACTCTCAGCAATCCTCCTGCCTCAGCCTCCTGAGTGCTGGGATTACAGGCATGCTCCACCACACCTGGCTCAGCTGTGACTGTTCATACTCTGTACATTTACTAGCAGACAGTGAAAGCACTTAACCAAAGGACTAAAGTTCTAATGTCTATGGCAAATACAATTCAGAGTTACTGCTATGAGAAAACAGATGTGAACTGTAAATGGAACTGCTAAGTTAGGACTGAATTATAAACCCCTTCTGTCACAACCACAAACAGTATAACCTTAAATTTCAGGTGCAGTTCACTGAGCCCACAAATACAAAATGGCTTCCCATAAAAATAATTTCCAAAGAAATGCTGCTGACCTTGTTGCAAAAGCAGGGTGAGAAGGTAGGCTTCTTGTGTGCACCTGGTATGTCAAAGTATGCATGTGTGTCCTGTGTGTGCGCACACAGAGATGTCATGGAAAATGGAATAAAGCTCAGTCTCACTGCACTTTGTGCTACTAGATAACATTGTACTGTAGTTTACAAGTTTTGCTATGAAGTTTCTTTACTCCAAAAATTAGACAGATTAATGTTGGAAATTCTGTAATTATTAAGTAAAATTGACAATAGTTTACAATTATATATATATCATTTTACATTTTACAAAGTTATTAAATATACATTCATGTTGATGCCCTGAAAGAGAGATTTAACTTCTTTTGCCCTCCCGTTTCCCCTCCATCAAACAGTGCTAAGGAACACTTAATCAGGAAAGGTACTATAAATGCAGCAATCTGTATAGTCCCACATAGTCGGGGGGGAAGGCAGGCCTTTGACGGAAGGAGAAAACTCTGTTGTAAAAAAAAAAGACAAAAAAAAAACCCATGCCCTGTTGTTAAACATAAGGAAAGCCCAGGGGTAGCAGGAGAGTGAGGCAACACAAGGGGCAGGTCCTGCTCACTATGGAAGAGAGGGGCACACACCATATGTGCCACATTATATATAACACAAGGCCACATCTGAAGAGGTGCAGTTGAACTTTTGAACTCAGGAGTTTCTTAGAACATAAGCATCTGACCACCAAGTGTGGTTTCTGAATGAACTGGGTTCAAAATGCACCTGGTTGCAAGGAAAGGCTTCCTCAACTCCTCATATTAGAAATTTAACAAAGGTCATTTGAGAAGCTACAAGTAACACAGTGGTGGTATCCCAGGGAGCATCTATTCCGTCAACCAAGTTTAATATCTTACAATTGTGGAAAAGGAGTTTCCGAGCAGGGACGAGCACTACCGATGGGAAGCCGACACTTGGGCCATCTCTTGGAGATTCCTGCTGAAAGTACTGCAAGTGTTTCTCCAGAGAAAGCACTTGCCTGGGTATGACTCAGAGCTGGGCAGGAATTCACACAATGAATCCGGGTGGTAGGAAGGCGAAGAAGTATGCCTATAAAGATCAAAGAGCCAGGAATGGAAAACACACTAAAAACCTCTCCAGTGGGCAGACTTCCGCCCCACAGTTAAGACGACCAAGTGAATCCTAAGTGTAATCAGGGAAACAAAGAAATGTCCTGCACGCCACCCATCTAACCAGAGCCAATGAGAAATGAAAGCAAAGAGTGCGAGTAAGTACATACACATACCTGCTTACAGAAGCACAGACAGGAGAGAGACAGACAGACAGGGACAGAGGGAGAGGGAGAGGAATGATGCTCATCCCAAGGAGGCTGCCAACAATCCCCTGCTGGGGGCTGTCAAGTGTGCTATGAATGACTAACTCTAGCTGCCTATTGCACCATTCAAAATGACAAAGGACAGGCGTGGCTTAGGAATTTTTTGTTTTCCTGGTTTTCTTGAGACAGAGTCTCACTATGTTCTTCAGGCCGGCCTTGAACTCACTATGTAGCCCAGGCTGGCCTCCAACTCAGTGATCCTCCTGCTTCAGCCTCCCAAGTGCTGGGATTACAAACACACACCACTGTGTCCAGCAAGAATTTACCCTATTTTTGTACGGGGTAACTGTCTGAGACTTCCGCTACCCTGGGAGTAGTTACTTGGGATCACCACCGAGATAACGCATTGAAATGTACTCACAGTGAGTCATGCCATTAAATCAAGTCTCTCAAATTTGCCTGTGTGGAGATGAATCTGGGGATCTTAAGAGGTAGGAGACTATTCAAAAAGGATTTCAGTCGCTTTTTAAAAAGCATTTCTTCTTAGGAAAATGGGAAACTCTCAGATACAGGACAAACCTACCAGAGAAGAAAGAGCCTGGCTGAGGCGGGGAGAGTACTCTAGAGTCTCTTACAAAAAAGAAAAAGACAGAGAAGGTGAGAACTTAAGCAAAGCACAATCAAGTTTCTCTTTGGTAACAGGGAACAGATGTCCCAGAAAGCAGAAAATATGAACTTAGGACAAAGAGTAGAATGTCTCCTCTTGATACTCCCAAGCAACTTTAATTATCCTTTCCAGAGGAGATGTCCTTAAAGATATGAGGATTCAGAAGTTCTAAGACCTGAAATCTGAGCCACACTTTACTAACCCTTCTCAGAGACTTCACGTTTACTCAGAAACAAGTAAAGAAATCCAAACAGGTAAATTGAGTTATAAGAATGTCCTTACCCAGTGAGACCACGTTCCCATAATTCTCTAACATCACTTCTCTGTAGAGGTCCCTCTGAACAGGGTCCAGGCGTCCCCATTCCTCTCGAGTAAGGTACACAGCCACATCCTCGAATGTCACAAACTCCTGAAATAACACATCCTGGCTGCTCTGCGGAAATGAGGCCACTGTAGCGCCATGGCCAGGAAGCAAAGATAATGACAGAGCGGGTATCTGTCCAGTGTGTATTTATGTTGGGGAAGATGAAGAACAGATTAAAATATAGGGAGCTGATCCCACAACCCTTCAATACCTAATAAGTGCCCATCATAGCACCATGGACAAGCAAGATTTACTCTTGGTGTCAGGGAAAGTGGTTTGTGTGAAGTGCAGTTCTCTAAAGAGAATCAGTTCTGCTAGTGAAAAAAAATTCCAGAGAAGGTTTAACAGGCGGACTGAGAGGCCACACTCAATCAGCAGCAGTAGTCTCTGAAGAAAAGCAGAGAGTTCCTCAGCTCACCTGGTACCTGGCTGTCAGGGGTGCAGCTGCCTGGTCTCCTGGGCTTCCCTGGTGGGGAAGGGCAGGCACCTGGGGAACAGGTGGAGCTGAGGGGGAGAAAGGATCAAGAGTAAGAGCAGCCCTAGGGCCGGGGATTTAGCTCAGTGATTTCGCGCCTGCTGCGCAAGCGCAAGGACCCGAGTTTGATCCCCGGCACCAAAAAAAAAAAAACGAGTAAGAGCAGCCCTTCCACAGGGCTCCCTTCAAGAGGCCTCTCTAGCACAAAGGGTGTCAATGGGACCCTCTTTCACATCAATATACTACTAAAACCAAGCGATATATATCAGGTATTGGGTACCTCTACTCTGTCCCTCCTTGGTACTTGTATGTCTTACTTATGCCTGTTTAGGCCCACGATGCAGGATTTTATTAGGAAATCTCCTATTTCCCTTTATCCTTGTAAGCTGACATTCTTCTCACAGAAAGGTAAGTACTGTCCTTGCTCTGTGATGGGCAAAGCATAAAGATTTGTAGTGACTTATTGAGGCCAGAGTTAGTTACTAGGCCTCTAACAGTTTGCCAGACACAGGTCTATAAACTCCATTAAGTTTTCATCTTGCAAACGGGCACTGTCTCAGCAACCAGTGTGTAAGGCTTCCAGGAACAAGAAGCGGTCATTTGCTTCTTCACAATGCTTTCCACATTCCCGCAATGTCCTCACAGCACCCTGCCCACCGTGGCACGCCTCTTGTGGTGCTGGCACACAATTATTTCTGACACCAGAGCTGGCCACAGCAATCTAAGACACAGTTCTTAACAAATCCATAAGAACAACAACAACAACAACAAAAAAGGCCAGCCAACCTATCTATACATAGCATTAAAATGAGACTCTACAGTCAGTAGTAACAGGCACTGTGTTCAAACAAGGGATTAAATGGTTGCTTTCTTAACCAAAACTACATTAGTCACAAACACTGCAACTGCAACAGAACGGCAAGTGGCAAAGCGGCAGACATCAAGGAAGGACACTAAGTGAAGCCAAAAGGGAGCGGGAAAGGTCCTAAGTCTAAGAGGAAGTGAGAGCCAGACAAGAATTAGGAGATGGGGCCAAAGCTGCATAGCTCAGAGATTATTCTAGACGCGGTAACTGGGGTGAAGTGAAGGTTGTCTGAAAGACACAAAGCCACAGAGGGTGTGACCACCACTCTGCTTATTAAAGATGAACCATCCTGAACAGAGGGGCCCGGCCCAGTCCTCCCTCTAGGGGCCACCTTTTTCAAGTTGCTGACCTTGTCATACCAGGCAGGCCCAGGAGCCCCTCTAAGCTTCCATTCTCCTGGATACAAGTGTTGTCTCTGCCTTACCCCGGGTGAGTCCCTGCTCCATGTCCGTGTCCTGCATGAATTGAGGCTCTGGGGAAAGACACTCAGACTGGGTCTCCAAAGACTGAAACTGGACCCTTGGTGATCCTGTAGCTTCTTGGGCTGACAGTTCCTCCATCCCTGTTCTGGAGAACAATGACCATCACTGCAGGGTGAGATTAGGAAAAATGATTGGAATAAGATTTTAAAAAAAATCACATTACTTCATATCCTCAGGACTTAGGAAAATATCTTACACACTGTAAACACTCAATAAAAGTTCATTAATAATGATTAACCACCCAAAAGAAACAAGAGAAAGGAATATGGTTATTATTCAACTTCAAATACTTCAGATCCAAATCATTAGGTCCAAGTAAGCAAGTTTATTTGAACTCTACTAATTTGGAATCTGTGATATTTAAGAAAAAACTCGTAGGCATGCTGGCACACACTGCCGGTAATCCCAGCACTGGGGAGGCTGAGACAGGAGGATCACCCAAATTCGAGGCCAGTCTGAACTACATAGTGAGTTAAAAAAAGAAAAAAAAGTACTGTTGAATAGCGCAAAGCTTTCTGTGGAATGTCTAAAACAGCTGAAATCTACAACTTTCGTTAGAAGCTAAAGTTTGTACCCAGAGAAACATGCTTGGTATGATTACTCATTGTTTCTTCCAAAGAAGGCCCCTGAGGAGTTACTTGGTAACAATTTGGCAGCACACTTCAAATTACTAAATGGGGCTGGCTAACGATAAAACTCCATTTTGGGGAGTCTTGTGATACTGTCAGACTAGATGGGCAGTCTAACAGGAACACAAGGAAAAGCTGCGATTCCGATTAAGTCTGACCGGTGTCCTTCAAACCCAAGGACGTGACAGGGTTGTATCCTCCAACAACCCTCTGTAAGGGCCCTCGCCCGGCTCCGAGCGTGGCCTCCAGAGGCTCCAAACTGGGGATCTGCCCTGCTCCCACTTCCCTCTTAAGCAAAAGCAAGCTCCCAAAGTGCGCAGCAGGCGTACAGACCCAGCGCACACAGGACCGGTCACGGCGCTCGGACTGCGGGGCTCTTTATCCGCGGGGCTTCGGGGCGACCAGGACCGAAGACGAACGGGCTCCCGCGCCGGGCCTCTACGCGATCCAGAAGGTGAGGACAGCCTTCACCCAAGGCCCGGCATCGCCTCCTCCTCCTCTTCCTGGGGAGACGAACCAAGGGGCCTCTCTCACGGCGACCCGAGAACGAACGGCTTCCGGGAGACTCAACGGAGCGGAGAGGCGGGCTCAGCTACGTCCCGTCAGGGACACACTCCTTCGCAAGGCCGCGCCAGCTCTTCCGGGCCGCTCTAGATGGTCGGAGGGCGGCGCGTCTCAGTGGCATTTCCTGCAGTGGAGCGCGGGTCCCGGATGCGGCCCCGGATGCACCCCGGATGAGAGTCCTGGCTGTGGGCTCTGGATACGGGCTCTAGCGCGGGTCCCCGGATGAGGGCCCTGGACGGGGGGATCCCGAATGAGGGTGCCGAGTGAGGCCCCCCGCTTAATAGGTTAGTGTCTAGTAGGTCTTGGATGCTGACTACTACACTTGGCTTCTTCACGTTTTGCAGCAGTTGCACCGCCCTCTCTGCTGATCTGGTGGACGCTTCTAACCACACAGCGATAATGACTGCGACCAACTTCGGGGAAACTGCCCCCTAACCCTTCCCTGACGCCAGCCACCACTGCGTAGAGGGGAGGCCAGCCCAAGTGGGCACGTATTTGGGGTGAGGAGTGTCTAGCCTAATGGTCCGGCTTACCTGAGCTGGTGCAAAATGTGGAATATCACTGACTAATGGCACCTTGGTGATAGGAAGACATGAAGTTGTGGGTCAAAACCTATTAAATGTGGTGACAAAAGGGTTAAAATTCTCAACACCCAAATTTCTCTGCTGATACAATCCTGCCCAGGACATACTGGGGAGTCAGGAGGTATTCTGCTAATCCTGAGTAGATAAACATAATAAAAATAAAGATCTAGTCATCCCAGTGAGCCCTGACCCATTTTCTCTCAAAGAATTAATGTGTGGGCCGGAGATTTAGCTCCGTGGTTCCACCGCCTGCCGCCTCGCAAAATCCCGAGTTCGATCCCCGGTACCAAAAAAAAAGTGCTATCCTAAAACTAAAGGGGCTTCTGTGAGACGCAAGTAAATGACCTTGGCAATTTGCAACTTTGATGTACAACTTCAGTTACAACAAGAGTTTCTGGAAGAGTAACAGGAAACAGCGTGCTCTGGAAAATGTATCTAAGATATCTCCATTTGCCAACTCAGACCCTTTCCCACATCTTCATTTTCTTACAAAATCCATAACCTCTCACACTGAACATGCCTGCTGTCCCTCTTGACAGTGTGTTCAGATCTGAATAAACTCTTGCCTTTCCTATATTCCTTGACTCTTGGTAAATTCTTTTACCACCTGTATCACTGGCCCTCCACATACTTATCTGGCGCAGCATTAAGGATCTTGGGGAATGCAGGAGGGGATGAGGTTAAGTTGGAATGGAAGAGACAGAACTAAGACTGAAAACAATTATGCTCCTGGCTAGAAAGACTCAGCTGTGCAGATAGGCTGGGTTGGCAAAGCACTGGGGCAGGCACCCTTAGGCAGTGACTGTCTGGTATGCCTCCATCCTTACAGACTGTGATGGATTGTGGAGGAACTAGATTTGCAAGACAGTTACCCTCTTAAAGTATGAAAAGTGCAGTGTAGTGTCACATGCCTTTAATCCCAGCACTCAGAAGGCTAAGGCAGGAGGGTTGTGAGTGGGAGGCCAGCTATATACTGAGACCTTGTTGCCAGCCAGCATGGATTCTTGCTTTAGTAGAAATGGAAATTAAAGCACAAATTTACAGGAGAAAAACCTTTATTTGGAAAGTTAGAGGGAAGATAGGATTTCAGTTTAGGTAGCTGATACAGGGGTTTAGATTGACCCACCCACAAAGGCAAGCAGCCAATATTCAAGGATTATTAGTTGGTGGGCTAAGATCCAGGTGACCACAGGTTTAGAACAATGAATGGAAGGGTAATGAATGTCCCTTTAAACCTCTTATCTTGGTATCCTCTGTCTTGGATGGGTATGAGATCAGGTAAATTCAGGGCTACTCAATACTGTCTGGCCAGCTACTAGGCAGACATTCCCTAAATAACATACCCCTATGAAAATCTAAGAAGCAATTTAAACCAAGATGTATAATAATAAAGGTTACAAAATAAAAATCAGGCTTTGCTCTGCTTTTAGTTCCCCACCTGAGAACATCTCAGTTTGTACTCATTGAGTGGTAGGAAATAATTTCTGCAGCAAAGGTGAGCAAACTATGGCAGCAATGCAGTTTGTCCAAGTTATAGCTGACTCAGGCCATTTGCTCCAGTGTGAGGATCACAGGAAGCATCCAGTTAAGAGTCCAACTCCCAGCCAGGCATGGTAGCACACACCTGTAATCCCAACACCCTGGAAGGATGAGGCAGGAGAATTTCAAGTTCAAATTAAGTCTGGGAAATTTAGGATTTAACAAGATCCTGTCTCAAAATAAGGGGGTGGGGGGTAGGGTAGTTCAGTGTGAACTACATTGTGGTTTAATCCCCAGTGTGAAAAAAAAATCCACCTCCCCAGCCCACCATGGATAGGGATGAGACAGGAATACTTAGGGTCTTGTGACCCACTGGTATGCCCATCAATGGTAGTGAACCTATGGTATGCATGCCACAGATGTTTGTTATCATTGAAAGTTCTAAAATGTTCACCATCATTGGGCTAGATCCTTACAGAATGTGAAGCCTTATGGGGGAAGTAATCTGCTAGGGACAGCTAAGCTCTTAAGAGAATCAAAAAAGTAGTTCAGTAATTTGTACCAATAAATTAGAAAATGGACAAAATGGAAGTAGAAAAATATAATTTATTGAAGTTGACTAGAATAATAAAAAAAAAAGTAGTTCAGCATGGTGGTGTACACCTGTAATCTCAGCACTCAAGGGACTGAGGCAGGGGGATCATGGCTTTGAGGCCAGCCTGGGCTACATATCAAGTGTGAGGCCACCCTGGGCTACTGTTGAGGACCAGCCACCATGCGCGTAGATTGGTGAGGGGCCAGATTACAGGCCCACAGGCCCAAGGTAGGTGTTAACTTGCCTTAGGAAAAGAGAAGTATGACTTCCTGTCAGCGTGGAAAGCCATAAACATAGTACTTCTCAGACAAGATAGCTCCTACTGAGGGCAATAAATTATGCAGATATCCCAGTGTGGGGAAGGACCTTAACTTTTCCCTTTGAGATGCTAAAACTTGGTCCCTATCTGGCTATTGTAAAATTACTACAGTCTCTGTTTCTAGGATAGAATACCACACTCTCCCCTGTCCTTCTTAGTAAATAATAAGTGGGCCCACCATGGAGTTTGTGGAAGCCTATACCTAGAGACAATTTCCTCCTGGTCCCCCACTGTAAATAATATACTATATCTGTCTTTTTCCTTTACTCCCTGTTGTTCTCACTACAGGTATTCAGGAGTCTAAAGAGCTCTGGTTAGCTTATACAGTAAGACCCTATTTCCAAAAACAGAGTCTACTTCCCTCCAATATTCACCAAACCCTAACAAACAGTGGGGTTCTATAAGAAACACCAGCTACTATTTTGTTTTTTAGCACAATTTTCTTCCACAATAATTAAGATGGCACTGTAGAAACTACCAACATTAAAAGTGATCATTTTTTTAGCTTAAAGTATGTTGCTGTAAAGAAAATATGGGTTGGTGGTATAGATCATAGTGGAGCACTTGTCTAGCAAGTACAAGGCACTGGGTTTGATCCTCAGCACTGAAGAAAAGCAAATACTGACCCCCCGCAAAAGAACAAAAAATGTATGTGTAACTATTCCAAAGGGATTGATTGAGTACTTCACTCATCTTTCCCATGTGCTCACCATTGCAATCCACATGGATATGTACAAATGAAGTAAAATATCACACTCCTGCTTACACCTTTGTAGTTCAAGATTGCTTTCATGTGCAGAAGTTAAACTACTGAAGAAACACTGGGTAACTAGCATAGATTGGGACAACTCTGTGAGAGAAAATTTTGAGTTGGAACCTGAAAAAAGTAATAAACTGCTATTTTACCTGGACAACTTGCAAGTGATGACATAAAAAAGGTGCTATGGTCCTGGCAAGTGTCCTGAGAGTGTCCCCCGTGTATGAAAGGCTTGGTCACCAGCCTATGGCACCACTGGGAAGTGGTGGAATCTTTAGGAACTTAGACCACTGAGCACGTGCCTTTTAAGGGGATACTGAGACCCCAACCCCTTCCTCTTTCTCTTTACTTCCATGCCACCCTGAGGTGAGTAACTTCCTCACCAGGCACTCCCTGCCATGGTGTGCTACCTCAATGTAGGACCCAAAGCAGTAAGGCCAATAGACCACAGTCTGAAACTAACCCAAAATAAACCTTTCCTTTTATAAAATTTTATCACCTCAGGTATTTTGTGATAGTAATGTGAAACTGACTTAACACCATAGCAATTCCACTATTGTTACCCCAAAACCTTCCTGGAAAGAGCTAAACTCAGAGTCCTACCAACTACCTAGCATTACACAGATCAAGTTTTTAAAGATACTGCGGAAGATGATGGAGAGGTGAGCAACAGAGACAGAGCCTCTCTGAGGTTTTGTGTCCAGGCATGAGAATAAAGCAATGTGAGGAAGAGAAGAAGGAAGGAAGGGAGTTCTGGGACCCAGGAAGGCTCCGAAGCAAGCACTGAAGCCCACAAGGAGAGTGGAGAGAGACTCTCCAACCAAGAAGAGGGCGGCAGGCTGCACCTCAGACCTCCGCTCGCACTTGTTCCACGCGAATGGCAGCTCAGACCTACAAACTGTGACTGCTGGCAGCCCAAGAGACCTCCACAGAGAGACAGACCACTGGAACAGAGACAGTGCGTGCAGCAGACTGCAGTGGTTGCTGTGTTGCTGGGGTTTGGACGTCTCCCAGGAGAGACAAACAGCCCACAGATGTCTTGGAGAGGAGCCAACTGAGCTCAGAACTCACAACAGCTGTGGGCTGGCTCCATCTAATGGCTTCCAGTGTCAAATCGGCAGGAGGTTAGGGAGCCCAGTTTGAGCCAGTGTAGGGTGTGCAGTGTTGCAGGCTCCACAGGTCTAGGCTTGCTGGGATTAATCAACTCAGATCTGTATGCTGCCCATGTTGTCTACCAGCGACAGCAGAGACACGCCTTGAAGTAGACAGGGGTCCCCCCTGCCCCGTTTCTCTCTTATCTTGTTTTTGTTTTTCTTCTGTTTTGTTTTTTGTTGATTGGTTGCTCTTGTTTTTATGAGTGTGAACATAGTTTCTAGTGTTTTTTTCCTGTTAATTTGTTCTGTTCTTGTTTTTCTACTTCTCTTTCTCCCATCATCTTCACCAGTTTCCCAAAGTTTGCGTGATCTTCCTTTGTCATCTAGACTTGTTTCTTTCGTTTTTTTTATTTTTTATTTTTTTGGTACCAGGGATCAAACTCGGGTCCTTGTGCTTGCGCTTGCGAAGCAGGCGGCGAAACCACTGAGCTAAATCCCCGGCCCTTTGTCTTCTATTTCTTTCTCTCTCTCATTTTTTTTTTTTTTGGTACC